AATGAAATGGAGTGGAATGGAACAATAGAAATAGAAATAAGACTATCACAACACCATTAGATTTCACTTAACTCCAGACAAGTGTCAATGCATTTGGCTGGCACCTAAAGGGTTTCCGTTGACTTTTCCAGCCTTCGCCAATGCGCCCCAACGCTCTGGTTTTGTCCACTTAATTTGGGCGAAATGAGCTTTCCTGAAGCTGCAGCTGGGCTGTCATTTTGCAAATGGGAATGTTCGTCGCAATCTGTTCTGTTTAAGAAGACACTAGAAAAAGATCTTGTTTCTCCACCTTTGGGGAAGATTGCTCATTCAGTTCCATTTGGGGTAATAAAGAGAAGCAGACGATGTTAGGCAATAGCTACCTGCCTTGATAGAGGGAGTTGAGTCACCGTAAACTGGAGCAATTCCAGCAAAAAAAAACAAAAACCACCCCAAAACAAACCATCAGCCTCCCAGCAAATTTGACCCGGGAGATGCTAAACAGTAGAGCAGCATCCTCGGTTCCAGCTTTCCCTCTTTATACCAGCATTAAAATTATGAGGAGGAGAAATGAGGACATTTATAAAATGTGCTATTTCTTCTGCAAGGCACATAGATGGATCTCTCCAATTCAAACAATGTAATCACAATTAAATTTACTCTGTTTCTTCATAGAAGCAATCCAATTAACACACACACACACACAAACCCCTGGGATGTTCTATTTTACCGTGCCCTTTATTTATTTATTTTCTGTCTAGCAGAAAAGAGCCAATTTGGAAGAATGCTCCATCTGAGTTAGGGAGAACATGCTAACAGTTCTCAGAGGCTGGAAACAGGCTTGTTAATATTAAAGCTAGCTGGAGGCACACAGTAGTTGCAACCTTTCATTTGGGTGGCTTTCTAAAAGCTGCAGTTTGCTGAGCAGAAGGGAGGGGAGTGTGGAAAACTTAAAAAAGAAAAAAAGGGACAACCCACTGTTTTCCTTCTGCAGATTGCAGCATCAGTCGGGAAGCAGGGACACAATTCCTTAGAGGCTGTCGCTGCCATTTATTCATGGAAATTCCGGGAGAACAATTAAATTGAGGCCAGACAAGCATAAACCAACTTTAAGCTCAAATATGGAAGTTAAGCGATTCGCCTGCCCTTTAGGACCTGGAATGACTAAATCAGGGGTAGGCAACCTTGGCTTTTTTATGACTCATGGACTTCAACTCCCAGAATTCCTGAGCCAGCAGGGCTCAGCTTGGAAACCTCTCCATTTTCCCTCACCATGGCTGGCTCAGGAATTCTGGGAGTTGAAGTCCACCAGTCATAAAAGAGCCAAGGTGGCCTACCCCTGGACTAAATGGATGGAAAGGGTGTCATATGGGGTCCTGGGTGCTCTCTGAGCTTGCAGATGTTTCATTACCCAAACTAAATAACATCATCAGCACTAGTACTGATGATGTTACCAAGTTGGGTCATGAAATGTCTGCAAGGAAACAACCAGGCTGAGAGAGCACCGAGGAACCCTAATTTCAACCCTGAGCTAAAAATAGTATCTTGGATTGATGCAATATGTTTCCCAATCAACAAGGGGGGGCAGGAACTACAGGTAGTCCTCAACTGGGACCAAAATTTATGTCGCGCCCGAATTTACCAGCTTTTTTTGTCCCGGTTGTTAAGCAAATCATTGCAGTTGTTAAGTGAATCACACTGCCGTTAAGTGAATCCAACTTCCCCCCACTGGCTTTGCATGCTGGAAGCTGGGTGGGTAGGAAGATTGCAAAGGGCAGTCACACGGCCCTAAAATGCTGCAACCGTTGTAAATACAAGCCAGTTGCCAAGCGCTGAATTTTGATCACCTGACAGGTGGGAATTGCAGTCATATCATAAGCGTGAGGACTGATCATAAGTCACTTTGTTTAGTGTCCTTGTAACTTCAAACTGTCCCTAAACGAATGGTTGTAAGTTAAGGACTACCCGTAGGCCAGGATTGGAAGCATCCACTGACCTGTTGGTGCAACTTATGGAAAACGGTGGAATCGACTTGGAATTGACTCGGATGCCAGTTACTTTGAGCAAACAATCAGATCTCCCTCGATTCTGCCCTCTGGGTGTGCAGCAGAGCAGAAAAAATTGCTTGTTTCAGGCTAGAGAGCTCCCAAAGGTGCTTTTCCAAGAGGCAACTGGACTTTCTTGTTTTTCTTTGAAGACGTTTCGCTTCTCATCCAAGAAGCTTCTTCAGCTCTGACTGGATGGTGGGGAATGGAAGGATTTATACTCCTTGCAGAGAGCTGCTCAAGCCTACAGAACTATTTTCTGAGCAATGCTTAAGAGAGCCTATTTACTGCTCATCCAAAAGGGCATGATTATAACCTTCAGCATCGCCATTCTCCCACCTCTTTACAGAGAGAGCGCTGAAGATGGCTCCACCTCATACATGCAGTCACTTCCACAAATAACTGCAAACCAATAAATATGCATGGTGTCAAAAAGCTATTTGTGATTGGGTTGGCCTTCTGAGATAAGTTAGGTCAGGAAACAAATTCCACAGAGATTCCATGAATGTCACTCTTTAGCTATCTATATATATATTGTATAGCAGACATGTCAAACACAAGGCCTGGGGGCCGGATGCGGCCCGCGAAGTGGTTTTGTGTGGCCCGCGAAGCCATCCTGGAAACAGTGAGGGAACGGCCCCTGCTGCCTTGGTCCTGGCCCAGGCCGGCCGGGAGCCAATGTACAATTTATTGGTGGCCATCTATGCTGAAACGCATTCAGTCTTAGCTCCACAAGGCCGTCTGGAAACAGCGAGGAACCAGCCCCTGCCGTGTCAGCCCTGCCCCCTGGGTGCATGCTGGGGAGGTGTCACCCTTTGTGAGGAATGAAGAAATGGCCCATGCCTTGGCGCTTGCCCCAGTCCCACCCTCTTCTGCCAGAGACCCTCAGATCTGTCCCACTCCTGCCCAGGCCCCCACAGGCACCCAGTAGGCCACACCCACTCCATCCACGCCCACCCAGTAGGCCGCACCCACCCTGGCCATACCCACCCGGCCCCCAGAGGGCAACCGCAATGCTGATGCGGCCCTCAATGAAATTGAGTTTGACACCCCTGTTGTATAGTGACCAAATTTGGAAAGCCTGCTAGAGTTTTTCTCTCCCTCCCTCTTATACCAAACAGAATCAAAGTAGGACTTTTGAGTTTCTTTGTCACACTAAATTGTTTTTCCTCCCTTAAGGGCTCGTGTGTTCCTTCATCAAGATTATCTCCATATTTCTTTACATATTGTTTATTTGGAAATGCTTATTTACCAAACCAAATGCGCTCCAGCTTGACAGGTGGCAATGATAAATACCCACCATAAATCCATACAACTATATCAGAATTGATTGGTTTTATGTGAAGTGCCACATCAATTTTAAAAAGCAGGCACGCAGGGCCAAATTGTCATGTTTTTTTAGGGCTGAAAGTGAAAAAAGACTTCCTCAAATAGCATGAAATTAATTTTTTTCCCATTATAGTTCTACTGAAACAAACGCTGTTTGTGTTTTCATCCTTGAACCCCTAGGCACAGAATGGGATCGATATTTTTGTTTTTAAAAATGTCACGGCTGGATATTTGCACGCACAAACACACAGACACACAAACACAGACACTCATATTATCCTCCACACACAGTTCTTTCAAAAGACTTAATTGATTTACAGTAAATAACAACAATTTACTTCCTGCGCTTGGACAGCAATCCAGCTGTCATATAAATTAACTCCTTAGAAGCTCTGATGTCACCGCAAGAACTTTTGATGCCACCACTTCTGCATCAGACCATCAATGGCTGCTCATGGTGGGTATAAGCCTTAAATGTTGGCTACTGCATAGTTGCTGAAACGTAAACACCCTTCTACTCTCAAAAGTGAATGCTTGAAACACCTTTGGAGCTATTCTGAGGAAAATAATTTTAATACTCAAAGGCTGGGTTCATAGGTATGCTGAAGTTTATATCTGGGTTAACAAAACCGAATTCCTGTGTTCACACAGCATGCAACAATGCACATACCAACCATTTGATGGTTTTATGAGACGGTGTGGTTCATACAATATACTCACTCAATAGCTGCGCTCCCCAAAATGCACTCAACCATAAAGTATGTGATCCCATTTTAAGCTAGTGTGCCCTACTGTGTGAATTATTGAATATAGGATGAACGGTTTCAGGAACTGGGTATGCCTAACGTTGAGAAGGACCAGGGGTGACATGATAGTAGGGTTCCAATATTTGAGGGGCTGTCACAGAGAGGAGGGGGGGACAACCTATTCTCCAAAGCACCTGAAGGCCAGGCAAGGAATAACGGATGGAAGCTGATCAAGGAGAGATTCAACCTAGAAATAAGGAGAAATTTTCTGACAGTGAGGACAATTAACCAGCGGAACAGACTGCCTTCAGAGGTTGTGGGTGCTCCATCATGGAAGGTTTTTAAGAAGAGATTAGGCAGCCATGTGTCCAGAATTGTATAGGATCTCCTGCTTGAGCAGGGGGTTGAACTAGAAGACCTTCAAGGTCCCTTCCAACTCTATTATTCTGTTCTTTTAAAAATCAAGCTATAGAGTGAAATTTTTAACCTTTTAAAGTAGTTGGATTTTCTGACATGGTTGTGGAGATTCTTTTATCACTTCCTTTTTCCCAAGCTGAAGATTAAAAAGTGCAGAAGTGTACAGTGATGACAAACATAATCAGGTGAATAAGGGGGCAGGGCTACGATTAGGTTACCTCCAAATTTAATTCTGTTATCACTCCAACAAAAGTTCACCAGAACACTAGATGTCCCTATGTGCCAATGTCTACAGTACACAAACAGTCGCCTAATTTGATTTTCAGAATTAAATTGGAAAAAGGGACTGTGAAAGAATGACTTATATTGGCCCAAAGAACTTCAAGGTTAGACAGACAGATGAAATTCATCCAGCTGATCCTCTAATCCATTTCCACCCGAAACGTGACTCTTAAACAACATATTCAAGAAGAGGCTAGCTTACCTCACAGATGTCCTTCAGATGTTTGATATAGTGGCGCTCCGTACTCATGATTTCATTAATGACATTGGCTCTCATCTGGTCTCGGTTCTGGAGGGTTCTCCCAAGACAGAGGCAGTCAGTGGCATTTGGATCCAAGTGTCCATTCTGTACTTCACTTGTGCCTTCTTCAACTCCATCTTCTTGGTTGACCCAGAGCTGTAACCAAAGGCAATACCAGCCCATTACATTGGTTTTCTAGTGATGCTGAGAGCAGCCAGCTGAGATGAGAGAAGGGCTTAAGAGGGGAATTAGCCTGGACTCGCTATGTAAACACAAGGTTTGATACCCTTTCCCACCCACCCCCAATGCCTTTGAACCTTATTTAGTCTTTCCCAATCAAAAGTTACCCAGTTGGGGAGATTCCTGTGAAACAGGCACAGAACAATAAAGTAGCTAGTTTGAACTCTGCATGTATGTGTCTGGTGATTGCACCTGATTAGTGTTCAGCCATGCCAACATTTTTCTTTTACATCCTCATTATTCAAGGATGAATTTGATGCCTCGCAAGTTTGCAGAATTGAAGGCAATTCTTTAGCTCAATTTGATTGCAAAACTAAAGAAATCCAGGATTTTTGTTGATAGTGGATAATCAGACTTGATACATTCTCTACTCCGTGGGGCTAGCCTGTGTGATTTCCATTGGCGAGTCAACCCACAGAACAATTGGGAAAGATTGTGGTTTTAGTGAAGTAATTCATATGGTCCAGTAAGAATGCAATAAGAAGGAAACCACAACTGAACCCAGAATTTATGTTGCTAACTGAGAAATGTGTTGAGTTTTGCCCCATTTTACGACTTTTCTTGCCACCTTTGTTAAGCGGATCACTGCAGTTGTTAAATGAGTAACACGGTTGTTAAATGAATCTGCCTTCCCCACTGACTTTTCTTTTCATCGCAAAAGGGGATCACATGACCCCGGGACACTACAACCGTCATAAATGTGAGTCGGTTGTCAAGCATCCGAATGTAAATCACGTGACCCTGGGGGATGCTGCAGCGGTGGAAAGTGTGAAAAATGATCATAGGTTATTTTTCCAGTGTCGTTGTAACTTTGAATGGTCGCTACATGAACTGTTGTAAGTTGAGGACCACCTGTAATATGAATTGGATTGAACTCCAGTTCTTTTAGACCTGTTTAATCCCAAGACTTGATTTCTTTTACCTCGGTCTTGTCAACTCCTGTTTTCCTTCCTCCACGATTCTTTAAAAAAAAGAATCAGAAGGATTATTCTGAAAATATCCAACAATTTTAAGTTGAAACACCAGGAGGGACTAAGAAAACATTAAAAAACACTCTCCTGCATTCAGCTCTAAATACACAGCATAGTACGACTGTTCTTCAAACAGCAAACAGGTGACAATAATGCAGGAAATGTTATTTTCCTTCATTTGTGTTCAGCCTTCAAGTCACAAGAAACATAAATTACACTCTGCATTGAAAGGGATATGGACAGGTGTTCCATTTCCACAGCTTAGCCTATGGTTAAATATGTAGCTGCTGATGCATTGTTTCTAACCTGTTCCTTAGGAATGATGGCAGTGGTACGTTCAATTTGCAAAAATCTCCATCCCTCTCCTTTTTCGTGTTCTCTGCTTTTTCCAACTGCTGATTATGTTTTGCTCAACAACATTCTTTTTATTACTGCACCAGAAGAGCTTTAAAGGTCAAGAATTGGGAGATCGCAGAGACAACCCACCAATTTTTCTCACGATCGATTTAAAGGGGCAGTGAACACGAGAAAAATGATTTGCAAACTGAAGTGGAATAACGACAAGATGGCCCTTTTTAAGACCAAACATCAATTTGGATATGCATGGAAAAGGATGAAATCAGAAACTATCGGTGCATTCATGTAATACATATATTTACCTTTGCTATATTGATATTTTTTTATTTTATTTTTTTACAATATGCTTAAACCCTATTCGGTACAAGCTAAAAAAAGAAATATAGAAAGTGATAATTTCAAGGTGTTTGGGAAATGGCTTTAAGGAGGTTTTAGTCCTCCTTTCCCAGCCTGACCTTCCCAAAATAAACAAAAAAAAATGTGTTGCTTTGCCAAAATATTTCCATTGCTCCTTCTAGCTTTTTGTAACCCTGAAAAATCCAGCAATTCAGTAGAATAAATAAAATATGAACATAGAAATGGGACAGAGATGAGGCAGAACGCACATTCTAAACTTAGCACATCAGAATTGATAGGAGGGTACTTTATTGAATCAACAAAGATCATAAAAAAGGAGTCCCGGCGGATTTTACTCTGCTAAGCTATTGCCAACTATCATCTCCATTTCAAGGCCATTGAGCCAGCGCTGCCCAAAGACATTTCCACAGTCACGTGGCCAGCGTGACTTCACAGAGCGCTGTTACCTTCCCACCAAAGTGGTATCTATTTATCTACTTGCATTTGCCTGCTTTTGAACTCCTAGGTTGGCAGGAGCTGAGGCGAAGACATGAGCTCACCCTGTCATGTGGCGCTCAGGACTCAAACCTGGGCTGCCGGCTTTCCAGCCAACAAGCCCAGCCTCTTGACTGTTGAGCCACTGAAATGCCTTAGCAGAGATCGTGCATCATGTCAAACTGTAAACTGTGGTCTAGAAACCTCCATGATTGTATTCAGAGAATCCTCTAAACCAGTGTTTCTCAGCCTGGGCTTCTTCCAGATGTGTACACCTCAATTTCCAAATCCTCAGATCAGCATGGGTACCACTAGTGTGCAACTTAACAACCATTTATTGAAGAACAGACATCTGGAAATTAGCTGGCCGAGAAAACATAGATCTAGACCAGTGTTTCCCAACTTTAGCTATTCAAGATATGTGGATTTCAACTTCCAGAATGCTGATTGGGGAATCCTGGGGGTTGAAGTCCATACGTCCTACAACGGCTAAGGTTGGGAAACAGTGTTCCAAACCAACCAATTCATAATACAGCAAGATCTGTAGCTCTTATTCCAAGTTTGATATCTCACTCTAAGCAACTTGACCCAATCCTCAGAAGGGCACGTTGATCTACTAGACCAGGAGTCTCCAAATTTGGCAACTTTAAAACCTGTGCACTTCACCTTGCAGAATTTCTCAGCTAGTATGCTGGCTGGGGAATTCTGGGCATTGAAGTCCGCATATCTTCAAGTTGCTGAGGTTGGGAAATATTACCATGCAGCATAACTAATGAAGAGATGTGACAAGCTAATTCATCTCGGAAGGCATAATTTGACTGAACTTCTGGCGTAACTAAACAATTCAAATGCAACGCAAAAATGTGACAGAAGGGTCGGCCCTCCGATACGGCTCCTCTACAGGAAGGAAAACCAAAGTGCTAGATCAGTGGTGGCGAACCTATGGCATGGGTGCGAGGCGGCACTCGGAGCCCTCTCTGTGGGCACACGCATCGTCTCCCCAGCCTCCTCCCACAGCCCCCTCCTCACCAGCAGCCTCCCCGGAGGAGAGTCGCCCCTGGGCGCGGCCCACGTGAAGCAGCATAGCCAAGGACATGGTAGCCAGGCAGCGGGGACAAGACTCTGCCCTTGCGCCCCGTCACGCGCAGGTGATGCTGCAGGGCATGGGCGGAGGGCGTGGCCACCATGGCGCTGCTGGGCTGCCTGGGTGATCTGTGGCGGGCCGTGCAGGTGGCGGGTGGCCCAGTGGGCAGGGCGTAGTGGTGACGGGGATGGGGGGGAGGGTTTTGGGCACTCGGTCTCTAAAAGGTTCGCCATCACTGTGCTAGATCATACAACGGTTCTTCACACGGTGTCTTCTCTGGCCCAGTGGGCCCAACAAAGAGTTAAGGTGGAATGGGAACTCCCGCAGCAAATAGAACCAGCCAAGTAATCCCAGGAGGTTCGATTAAGCCACAAATAAATCCAGTTATGTACAGGTTAAACTAATTCCGCAGAATTATTTTGCAGGGCTGAAATCTAATCAACTGGGAAGTCATCCCTCCTAATGCGGGAGAAAAAAAAGATTTAAGCAGACAAATATAACTTGCATGAACAAGGCGTACGCCTGCTACGTGTTGAGAATACCTTAAATTATGCACCTTTCCCAAGGATCATGCGGAAACTACAAAAGGCACTTGTGTGAGCCCAGAAAGCAACACAACCGCTTTAAGGGGTTTTTGATGGGTGCTGTGAGTGCGCACTTGCACGTGCTCTGAATCCCCTTCGAATCTGAAACTCAGCACAGCCCTAGAAAGAAGGTCTGAACAATTTCTATTCCAAAACTCACCACCGAGGCCGGCCAGCACAGGGCACAGCTCCCAAGCACTGATTGGCTCTAGTGGCTGTCTGTCTCACTGATGGAGAAAGGACCAGTGATAATTGACTGGGCTTTTAATGTGATTTTATGTATCTTTTGGTCTTGCATCATGAGCCAACTCGGGACTGTGCTGCCTCTTGTCTTACACCACCACCACCCATTTCTGGGATTCGCTCCTGCCTTCCTGGTAAACTGTCCCTTCACTGTAGTCCATCACAGCAACAAAGATGATTAGGGGACTGGAGGCTAAAACATATAAGGAACGGTTGCTGGAATTGGGTCTGTCTAGTTTAACGAAGAGAAGGATGAGGGGGGACATGATAGCAGTCTTCCAATATCTCAGGGGCTGCCCCAAAGAAGAGGGAGTCAAGCTATTCTCCAAGGTGCCAGAAGGCAGGACAAGAAGCAATGGATGGAAACTGATCAAGGAGAGAAGCAACCTAGAATTAAGGAGAAACTTCCTACAGTTAGAACAATTAACCAGTGGAACAACCTGCCTCCAGAAGCTCTGAATGCTCCAACACTGGAAGTTTTTAAGAAGAAACTGGACAGTCATTTGTCCGAAATGGTATAGGGTTTGCTCCCTGAGCAGGGGGTTGGACTAGATGACCTCCAAGATCCCGTCCAACTTTATTATTATTATTACATCAGCCACCCTCTGACACCAGGAAGTCAATCCTGGAAAGGCTTGTGAGCAGGAGAGACCAAGAGAACAGAATGCATCATGTTTAAGGAGTTTCAGATTCTGGGCAGTGGGTGAGTTCAAGATTTTGTGTGGCAACCATAACATCCACAAAACTCACAGCCCTTCTCTTATCAGCCATGGAGATAAGGAGAGAAGTCAAAATACAATACACAACTGAAGGCAAGAGCTCTGTGTGTGTGTGTGTGTGTGTATG